TCTGAGAAGTGTGTGTTCATCTCAGATGCCCATTTCTGGATTGGGTCTTTAAATTTAGGGGCCCTGATGTTCTTTAGTTCTTTATAAATTCTAGAGAGCTGACCTTTGTCTGAGTGCTTATTAGTTAAGATTTTTTCGAAGTTTGTGGGTTATCTTTTCACTTTGTTGATAATTTCTTTTGACGTGAAAAAACTTCTCAATAAGAGGTGGGCCCTGTTAACAGTCCCAAGTTTATGCTAGCTTTTTCTCAACTAAAGCATTTTTGCATGTAAGAATGACAATAATGGGGAAATAACCAGGTTAAAATTAATTTCGTAAAAAATAAAACCTTAGGAATTCTTGGTATCTTACATGATTACTTAAAACAAATTAATTGACCCATATAGGATTTCTCTGAGAATTTAGGTCCTGCTGAGTACTACTCTAAACTTCTCCCTGGTAATACCATCCTGTACAGCATTTACTCTCATACCTCTATGCAGGTGACCAGAAATCTCTTTCTCTTCCACTGATCAGGCTCTGAGTTCTAGGTTTAAAAGTGCAAGTCATCTGAGTGTCCTAATAATATCTACAAGCAGCCAAATCTAAAAATACCATTTTCACAGTAAACGTTTCTCTAGCTTCCCCACTTTTGTTACTTGGTTTCTCTTGTTCAAAAATAAGCATACTGGTAAATCAGAAACTCACAACTTCCCAAAGCTCCACGCCTCGGGTTCACAATTTTAGTTCACAGCAATTTCCCAGGGAAGTGAAACAGTACAAGAAATGCTTAAGAGAGGCTACACTAAACCAGACCACTTCCTGAATCTTCTCTTATACTAAGAGGCTGTATGTCCATCTAGAAATACAAACCGGGTCAAACAGAAATTAACCATGTCCCAAAGAGCAGCTCACCAAATCTTCAGATGAACCTAAATCTGCAGGTCACTCCCCACTGCTTAATTTCCTATCTCCTCATCTCTTTAACATACCTGCTTTAGCTAAATTTAGCTAAACAAATTCCTTATTTACTGCACCCCATCCAGCAATTGAAACATTTTCTTCCCTTTCACTATTCTCTTTACAACCCTGTCCAAAATACAGGTCCTCCAAGAAATACTTCTTGATTAATATTGCCAGTTATTAAATTCATACTCTTTCTATATTCATTCTCATTCATTTCCCCCCTCCCTTTCCCTTCCTCCTCCCTCCCTCTTTGTCCGCCCCCTCCTCTCTCTCTCCCTCTGAACACTTGTAAGAAGTACGGATACTTGCCCATTTCTGAAAGTAGTTCCTAGCTTTGAAAGTGGAGTCTGGGCTTCTCCAAGACGGAACGCGGCTGTCCCCATCACAACCTCCCCAGCCTCCCCGCCAGCAAGGGGGGCAGGGGAGGCAGCTGCTGCCCGAGGCTGCCAAAGCCCCTCGCTGGCTCCCAGCCCAGCACCTCTGAATCAACCCCGGCCGCGCCTCACCCGTCAGCTCCCCGGACAGGTACGTGGCCATTTTGGAGAACATGTCCCGGCAGAGCTCCGTGATATCGGCCTCGGCCGGCTCCTTCGCTTCCTCGGCTGTCTCGACGGCGGCATCGTCTGGGCCAAGAGACGGGGTGAGCGAGCTGCCCTCTACCCGGGCGCACGCAGCCCAAGCAGCCTGTCTCTACGTGCTGGGTCCCGCCCTGGCCCCGGGCCGACCGAGTACGCGGCACTCTCCGTCTCTGCCCTCCACGCTCGCTCAGACCCCGTCCTCCAGCCAAACCCCTCGGTCGCCCTGACAGGACCGACGGCGTGCCCGCCTCTCGGCTGGCCCCTGCCAAACGCACACTCGACCGCGCCGTCCTGAGCCCCGGCCCGGAGCCCCAGCTCTCCCACCGGCTGCGTCATCTTCCTCCACGCCGGTAGCGCATACGGTACCTCTGGCCGGCTCCTCTCGTCGCGTCGCCGGGACGCCCTCAGCCGCCGCCGCCATGCCCGGCCCCGAGCTACTTCCGGGTCTGGGTGTCTGCGCGTGCGCACTGGGTCTGCGCCCTGGAAGCGCCTCGGGCGAGGCGTCCTGGCCTCCTTGCCGGCGTTAAAGTGTGACTATCCCGAGAGTCTGGCCACTGTCACAAACAACGACTTTTAACAAACTAAACGCCCAAAAGCCAACATTGAAGGTGAGTCACCGTGTATGGCAGAGGCGCTTAATGCCTAGACAGCCACATTCCAGTCACTTGACAGAGGTCATTGGCTTGTGCCACCCACCGCAGGCTGGGGGTTAGTTGAGCCTCCAGTGTCCCGTTGACCAGTGTCCCTAGAGACAGATTGACACCCTTGCCCCCCGAAGACACTTGGAGTACTGGCAAGTATTAGTCTCTAAAGATTGCTCAGGGAATCCATGGTTTCCAGATACAGTCTTTTATAAGCTTTGGGAAAAGAGATTCGGGCTTTTGTTCCTGATCCTAAATAATGTCCTAAGATAACACCATCTATTGAATCCCATTTCTTATTCTGCAGGCAGACACCGACTTCTCTTCAGTCGTTAAGAGTCTTTATTGTATTATAACTTTTTAGGGATGAAGATACGTTGGTTATCTTACTTACTGTTAGCTGTTCCACGGATCGCTTTGGTACCGCAGTACTTAATGGAATAAGAGAATGGAAGTGAGTGAACGAATTAAATGAGAAAAAGTAAAGCAATCGAAGGTGCAAAATCAGGATAAATAAAGCTAGTGGGGCAGAAGGAGTGAGTCTCAGGACAGGACAGACTCCTAGATGCCAAAAGTCTTGGTTTTTCTTGTCTTTTTATTTCTTGTCTTTTTCCTGGTTGTCCCCAGCTGCATGCACACACATGTGCATGTGCATGCGCGCACACACACACAATCACTTTCCCTTGCCTCTAGTCACTGAAGCTGACTCTACCTGAGGACATCTGTCTTCCTAGGTCACCTGTCTCCATTCTTCCTTAAGGAACAATCAGTGCTTACCATCTAAAAACTTCTGGTTATGAGCCAGAAGTTCTTATATGAGGACTGTTGTGGGAGCCTAGCTCCTTCATGTTGTCACCGTGTCCAGTGTATACCTCCCAAAAAGTATGACCCCACCTCACCCCAAATACCTGGATAGCTCAGTTCCAAACTTTTCTTCTGCCTAAAATATCAGAAGCAAAAACAAACACTTGGGGTTTTTTTGAAGGGGTTTTATTCATAGTCACCTGGGAAACTGCATTGTCCTATGAAAAACTAAAGCCAAAACCTACACATATTAGTCCAAAGATTTCTGAATCCTGAGGTCATTTCCTTGCATGATTCCTTTCAGGCTCCATTTTGTCTCCTGATTTATGGCCATCTCAGTTCTTAGCACATAGTGGAATGCCAAGAGCAGCCTCCACCACAAGAACCTTTGTAGACTTTTCTGGAGAGGGAGGCCTCGCTTTCACTCCACTGTAGTGTTGGAATCTGACTCTCAGGATTCCCTTTCCCCTTTATGGAGAAAGTCAATGAGGGAAGACGAGAAACCTATGGATTATAACAGTAGATCTCCAGATACAAAGAATAAGAGTAAGATTTACTGGTAAATAGGAAGACATCTAGATACTATCTACCAGCTCTTGCTTTCTACCTTTCTACCTTCTTTATAAGTCATAGCTGTCAGGATCTTAGTGGGAGTCATTATTTGTCCTGTATTTTGTTTGTTACTGACATTTTTAACACCATAGCATTTTTTCACTAAATTCACAGAAAATAAGTCCAGTGTGAAGTATTACTGTACAGAACTGTGGGGTTATATAAGGAATACAAACTTAAGCATGATACAGAGACGGACATACAGAGTCATTTGCTCAAAGGGCCAGACACACAATGGGACACAGCAGTAACCATGATGGACCCCGCATCAGATGGTAGTTGAAGTAGAAGGGGTTGTGAGACAAGAAGAAAGACAAGAGCCTAATTTTGAATTTTAAGACTCCTTTTCTGCCACTCTTCTGCCTACCCTGGATTCTCTAAAGGAATGAAGCCACAGCTGGGGCTGGCTGCAGGTGTTCCCAAATGGCTTGTTCCTCCTATTGAAAGAAAAAGACATAGGTCATTTGAAGGAGTTTGTTTCCCACTTTCCCTTTCTCTATATCTGATTCAAGAAAACCCAAACTGTTATAGATCAAATATTTATGCCCCTAAAGTGATGGTATTTGGAGGTTAGGCGTTTGATAAGTGATTAGGTCATGAGTGAGCCTCATCAAAGGGATTAGTGCCTTTATAAAAGAATTCTCTTTTATTTTTATTATTTGAGGATATAGCAAGAAAACAACTATGAATCAGAAAGGCTTTCCCTAGATATTGCTACCTCTTAGACTTTCTAGCCTTCCAAACTCTGAGAAATAAATTTTAACTCTTATTAACTGTTTATAAGCCAGTTAACCTATGATGAGAATCCAAACAGACTAAGACACAGACCTCTCCTGCAGGCAAAGGCAGCCAATAGTTCAAAGCAACCAGCTTCTAGGCCTTCCCTCTGCATTCACCTTCACTGATGATACAGTGACGACTACTACTGTGAACCTGGTTCTCCAGGACCCTGAACACATAGGTCTTTCAAAAGTGCTTTTCTCCTCTGGACCTCAACTGACTAGAGTTCAGCTGTGGGGAACTAAGAAGATCCAAATGAGGGGTACTCACCACTTCCAGGGAGGCAGTCAGCTGCCCCTTCCTCTCTGACATCTTCAGCTTTGCACCCAAAGCATCAATCTGGGCCATGACTTCTCCTAGAACAGTCTCCAACTGTAGAACTCTCTTTGTAAGCCTGTGCAGGATTTGGTAGAGATCAAAGAAGCAGAAACATGGAGTGGGAGCTCTAGCCATTTACAGGAACAAGAATAACAGAATAGTGTGTCTGGATGGGAAAGGGAAGAAAAGGCACAATTATGTAAAGAGAATCACAGGGAGGTAGAAGTTTTCCCTGGGCAAGGGCAGAGATTGGAAGGTCGGGGGAAGAAGCTTAAAACAGTGTCAAACAAAGCTAGCTTTGTGCTTCTGGCTGCACATACGTGTAGAAATCTTCTCCAGAAACCCAGCCTTCTGCTCTGGCAGCCTCTGAAGCCCACTTGCCGCACACAATAGGCTGGCTCAGGTTCTCAATCTCAGCATTGAGGGCCACCTGACCAAAAATCAAACAGGAAACAGGAAAAGACTATGAGAAGACATCAGCACCTATCGCAACACCTATTCTAAAGGGCTCCCAAGGCCAAGCTGTGGGATCCAGTTCTTGCTGCCCCACTTCCCTTCACACTCAAGACAGCATAGTCAGAATTATGGTGCTGGACCAATCTCTGGAGAGAGAGCTGCTCCCCAAAGAAACTAAACCTGGGCTCTTTGAAGACTTGATAATGAGGTTTTTCACTAGGCTCCATCTCAGATTGGGAAAGGAGGGACAGTACCAGAATTTTTGGCATTTTCTTTCCAGGCTGTGGTCATGCTACCCTCAACTCTTTCAATCTACACAAGATAGGGATAGAACAAGCATTGCAGGAAAAACTGAGGGTCAGAGTGAAAAGTCTAAAGAGAAAGCAAGTCTTCACAGGGATTGGTCAGGGATTCTTGGGCAATTGATCTCCTTGCCTAAGACTACATTTTTGAACAAAAGCTTTCAATCTTGGATATGCATGGAATCACCTGTAAAGTTTTAGGAAATATTGATGTCTGGATCCTACTCTCACGGCTTCTGATCAAGTTGGTCTAAGGTGTGTGGCCTGACTATGATAATTTTAAAAAGCTTCCTAGGATATTTAATATGCATCAGTTTGCGAACTGCTATTCTAGAGTTCTTTCTTGTTCATCCATGGGAGGATTTTTAGTTTGGGTTTGTGTTCCAGATACGTTGCAGCACGGGACAGAGAACAATATCCATACATTTTCTTCCCATCAACGAGCACTTGTTACCTTCTCTTTCTCCAGGTCCTGTCGCATTTGTTCTTGCTCTTTCTCATCCAGAATGCAATTCTCATCCTGGTCAAACCTAGTGAAGGCAGCCGTGAGCTCAGTGATCTCATGCTCTGTGTGCCCCAGTCTGAGGAGAACAGGATAATGAAATGACTTCTTCCCTTTTGAGGCTGTGATTGCTCCAATATGGACTCCTCCCCCTTTTGCTAGGCTCTTAAAGAGGTAAGGGTCTTGACCTCTGAATCTTGCTTTCTGGGAAAGAAGAGGACCATCTGGGAAAGCCAGTATCTGCAAAATCTAGAAATTTTACTCCTAAGAAATCACTTAGATCTGTCTCTTCTTCCTGTTTCAATTTGTGCTGATTGGGCTTGGGGCCTCGTGATTTCCTATTGGGGTTATGGCAATGGCTCCTTGACTCTAAATAGCCTGCCACTCCCCTCCTCCAAGGTCCCTTTCATTCTGTCCTCCATAATGTAACTAATATTTTTAAGTGCAGGTCTAATACCTGAGCATGATGGTCTGAAGTTTCAGTTACTCAGAAAGCTGTTCTCTTATATTCTGCAAACCACTTTACTATGCTGGCCGTGCTTACTACATTAGCCATCTCTCAAAGACCCAGGAGATTCCCTTCCCCCAACATGCACACTGCCTTTCTCCATCCTTGATTTGTTTTTTGTTTTTAATTTTAGGATCACTGCTTAGTGATCCACCTGTTTACAGTCTCCCAAGAGCTGGGATTACAGGTGTGCGCCACCACACCTAGTCTCAATTGCCTTCTCAGCGCACCCCTGGTATAACAGGCCCAGGGATTGAACCCCCAGCCCCTCCCAGCCCCTGTGCCTGCTTGCAGATGCTGTAATCCGCTGAGCTATTTGGCCAGCCTCCATCCTTGATTTGTTAAACCCAGCATAATTCTACATATGTTACTCAGAAAGAGATCATTAAGTCCACAAATTTGAGACAAACCTGGGCAACATAGCCAGATGCTGTCTCAAAAAAAAAAAAAAAAAGTAAATAAATGAAAGAAAGGAAAAGAAAACAATAGAAAAAAAGTGCAACTCAGTGCACCCCTTAGCTACTTAAAAATCCTCCTTGGGCACCCTGTTTTTTGGATTAAGGACATTCCCAATGTGGCCCTTGCCCATTTCTCTGGCTTCTTCTCCTCTTATGACTCATCTTTTATATCTTAGCAGTGCTCCTTGACTCAGACCTCTGGGCCCCTGGGTATGCTTCCATTTCTTCTTCAGATGGCCTTCTTCTGTTATCTATTTGTAAGATACTCATCTTTGAAAGCTGTATTCAAACATTACCTCTTCCAAGAAGGCTTCCCTTAAACTCAAAGGGAATTGATAGCTCGTTACTTTATGTTCCCTTTGTTTAGGTCAGTAACTTTGATTGTTTAAGTTATTCTGAGATTTGATTTATTTGTTTACATGTCTGGACCTGGACCTCCTAGAGAACAAAGACTTTGTCTCACTTAATTACTTTTGTTTTGTCCCTTACTCAGCAACTGGCCCACAACTGGATCTCACAAATACATTTGTTTAATGTTTTGTGGAAGTCAGAGTGTACACAATAATGAGGGAATTATACTATATTGTTTGATTAATTCTAATTAATTCTAAAGTTGAGAGTGCTATATACTATTATCATACACTATTGTTATATACTAATGTATTAATAATACTAATATATTAATTATATATACTAAAGTATTAATACTATTAATATATTAATTATATATATTTAAAGCAAGGACACAATTCTGCAGATTGGTATCAAACACCTATGGCTAAGGTCAGGAGCTTACAAGTCAAAGTCATAGATACACATCCCAAAACTAAAGACTCATAGAGATACAGCTGAGGATCAAGAACTCATAGGCTATTATCAAAAAAAGTTGGATCTCTGGTTTCTCACTCTTTTAATGTGTTGGTGAAATCCTCAAATTGGATCTCTTGCTTCCCACCCTGCAAGACCTTCTGCACATCTGAAACCTGCTCCTTCCTTAGATGCAGTTTTAATAGGGTCTTGTTGTAGCCCTGAAAGAAAAATGAGACAGGCAGCAGCCTCATAGACTCCTAATCATCCTTGTCCTTCTCCACCCAAAAGATGCCAGGCTTCCAGGGATAAGTTGAAGACACACAACTGTATGATTCTATACCACTCAGCAGATATAGATGCAGAAGTGTGGTCAAGAAGATTGAGTAGCCACCTGTTTCAGCAGGTCAGACAGCTGCAGTTCATCCTTCTGTCCAGCCAACTCCTCCTTGACCTCTGAATATGTGTCATTGATAATGGCCAGGAACATGTTCTAAAGAATAAAATGGAGACCTACAATTTTACCCTGAGATTCAATAAAAAGCATTCATCCCACTCACCCCATATCCCAGACACATGCTCTAAAGGGGCCAGTATTCTCACATTGACCTGATGTCTTCATTTTCAGTTGTTGGAGTAAACACATAGATAACCTAAGCCACAGACCTCTATACAATGGTCTGCCTATCACTGAAGGTAGAAATTTTTTTAGGGCAAGCGTACAGGTGTGCTCTTTATCACCTATCTTCCATCTGTGTTTGTGTCCTCATTTACCAAACAAACACACAAACAAACAAAATGTGCTGGCCATGTTAAT